TTATATGCTAAGTAAAACATATCGCCTCCCAACACTCAGATATGAAATCATCCAAATCTCAGAAAAAAAAATCGAATCTGTATAATTCCCAAAATATAAATCTATTCTTCTAAACCAATTTACACCATTACCTACCTCAAAGACATCCTCATCCAGGATTCTGGTGCCAAACACAGTAATGCCCTCTGTGTTGATGACGGCCCGGTTGCTTCTGCCAAGCGGCCTGGTCACCTTTTTCTTACAGTCCACAATGATGGTGACACTCTTCTTCTCCACACTGAGGGCTACCCTGTGCCATCTGTGCAGAACAAGTGAAAATACAGCAGGATGTCACGAATGCAGTTAGAATACTCTTCTACATTCTATCATTTCAAGAAAAATTGCCACAGTCTATGGATAAAATGTGTTTATTCTTGTCAAGAGTTAAATGGAAAGATTGATTCCACTCTTGGTTTTTGTGATTAAACCACAAAATATATATTTTTTACATTATTCTTTCTGTTTGGGTTGAGTACGAGATCCATCCATTATCTATATTGTTTAGTCCTGAATTGGGTAACTCTTGGCAAGAGAGCAAGCCAAGTGCATTTTCCAAAATTTCAGACTATTCCTTTAAATGTCTATCATTTCCATATATTTAAATATGTGAGCAATTTGTTTTTAGATGGATTGGTTTTTAGATTAGCAATTTGTTTGTCAGACAGAATCTGAAAAAGCATGTGCTAATCCAGTGTATTTCAATTATAACACTGCTTTGTGTATAGAGACAGTTCTTTTGAAATGTGAACTATATTTGACCTGTGTCAAAATGTATAAACTGCATACTGTTGCTACATACATGTTTTGCAAAATTGTAATTAGACTGTATATTTAGACCTTTAAAATATAATTTTTTTTACAGACAAGCAAGCACACATGGAATAATTTCAAGGCATTTCTGTTAGCATTTGTGCATAAGATTGATGGCAACGTTTAACAATTATTTGAATCAGCATCATTGGACAGCTGGATTTATGACTATCCTGCCCATTACTGCACATCAAAATACCACTGCTGTAAATAATCTGAGAAAGAAAAGACTGTCAACAAATAGCTGTCAGCAATTTATTTGCTGTTACTGTCTGACTTATTCCATATGGTATTGATGACTGAACAAACATGATGATAATAAATCCCCAGCGCTGTGCGTCAGTTAACCAGGCTAAAAGAGTTAAGTATGCTCTGAGTGCTTGAGAAAACCCATTAAGCAAAATTGGTTTTGCTTAGCATAAAATAGAACCACTAAATTGTGTTAAAGTGCACAAGATGAACCTCAAAATGTGAAGCTTTGATTTTCAGCCAGTTACATGAGATTCACAACAAACGTGAGATTTTCAATTGATCACAGAAAATATTTGAGTTAATCAGATTCTACAATAGAAAAGAAAAAAAGCAAAGATCCAGGTGACACAAAAATCTACCACCCACATCTGACCTCCAGCATGTTCAAGCCCCCTTGAGAACAGGTTAGTCACTTACTTGCCATCAGCAAGATTGATGGAGCGGAACAAGGGGTACCCCTCGGGAGCAGGTCTGCCATGCTGGTCCTCATACATGAAGACAGGGGCACGGCCCACCTCCACGCCGAGCTGCTGAGTGCTTTGCTCATTGTACACGGACAGCAGGAAGGACTGGAGGCCAGCCTTGGGCTTTATGGTAAACAGGATGGAGAAATCTTCTGGGAAAACTCCCCCTGAAGGTGGAACAAGCAGCAGCATTGTAGGTTGGTATGGCAGTCAAGACCAAGACATATGTAATAAAAATAAAAAAAATCTTACCAGATGTATATTTTGTCAGATGCTTTACAGCATGGTTGTGATGCAAATTCATACAATTACGGTGTGGTTTATTATTTCATAGAACTGGAGGTTGTATTTCAAATGTGACCCCCCCCTTTCTGAGTCTGCGCACCAGCCTGGCCACCCCATAAAAAATTTTCTAGGTCTGACCCTGCTTAAGACAGATATTGTTACATCTGGACAGAGCCACGCTAGGTGGTCCCCCTCCCTGTACTAAGCTAAGCCGATTGGCTACTGTCAGAAGCTTCATATTTAACATACAGACAAAGTGGTGGTGCTCATTTCATCGAAGTCCAAGCAAGACAATAACTCCAAGCATATTTCCCAAAATATCAACTCTATTGAGTTCAACATTGCTATTCCTTTCTACCCATAACTTACAGAAATTATCAAGCAATACAGACTTGTAAGGTGAACTATGCACTACACAGGTGTTTAAGTATAATCCTTTTTAAATGTATAATAGTCAAGTTTAATGTAATGGCTTGTTTTCACCTTAGGCCCCATCTTTTACACATCAATCTTCTACCGATGTCATTACACGGGTAACTGAATAACAATAACATTTTCTCCTCACATTAAATCCAGATATCTAGATAACTGGACCTGGAGCAGTGTGTTTTTTAAGGAAGCTGAGAGAAACCTTGGCGTGGCCACATTACTTTTACAAGCACTGTAAATACAAGAACTCCAACAAAAAGCATTTTTAAAGCTATAATAGTTCGGTTTAATGGAAAAGAACTGATCCCGATCAAATAAAAGTCAAACTGTTTTGATTGAGGATGTTTTGATTCTTTGCTTCAATGGCCACTTCCAACGCCTCACCTGTGAAGCCTAGTCATATGCTCCGAATTTCCATTACTGAAAGCATAAGGTGTGCTAGTAGTTCAAGCCAAAAATCACAGAGACCTACTTTATAATACTGTTTTGCACCTTATATTCTCTGAAATCCAGCCACAGTCAAAAGGCTAACACACTGCAAACTCAATTCCTAATTACGTTCTATACACGTTCTTACCAAGTCAGTTTTGAGTATCGATGTCAGCTTTATTATTATATATATTACTTTGCATTGTATTTATTTTAAGTACAGCATGTGCCATATTTTAACAGGAAAAAAAATCTAATGGTAACAAATAGTAAATTTACATCTGTTAATGGGTCCTAAGTTGCAACAAGCGTAAGAAGGTAGCAAACCAGACAGTTAAACAACTTTTCCGTTTCTCTGACTGGATTCCTTCCTAATAAAATAAATATGCTTTATTTGTCAAACTGCAGAGCATCAGACTTTGACTCACACAATGTGCATTGATTATGAAACCTCTGCTGGATTTCAGTGCATCGGCCAGTTACGACATACTCGTGTCTGCCAGCAATCAAACTTGTGGAAAAACGCTTTATTGACAAAATCAGTGCACAAAACATCAAAAGGAATGTTCCTCTCATTGACTTGCTGTAATAAACTGTGGGTTTCCCCAGCATATCAATATCAAATCAAGCTAAAGTCTGGTGTTGCTCCTCTTTCTTGAATAATATGTTTACATGACATTTCATACACTATGTGCTGAGTCACACTCATGTCCTTTGGGGTCTTGGAATCTAGTGGAACACCACTGCATACACGGAAAATAAGTGCTGGAAGTCTGCACTGTGTTTTAGAAGACAGGTGTTTGGAGTGAAGGATTTTATTAAAGTTATATATCTTTAAGAAATGTCTTTTTTGCACAGTATAACAAAACCATCAGTTATATTTTCATCAAAGCAGTTATTTTCTCTGCTGGCAGGTTGGTCCACTTTGGTCTAGATTGAAATCTCTGCACTACTATAGACATTCGTGCTGGTGGTTGGTGATCCACAGTCGTGTCAAAATTTCATTTTGTCCACTACTTTGGCTTGCGCCCAAATATCTACAAAACTAATGGCATTACCATAAATCTGAGCTGCAGTCTATGTTTGGTGCTAATTAGCAAATGATAACCTGGTAAATTTCTAAACCTAGATGATGAAGGGATAGACAACATACCCACTTAATATCAGCATGTTAACTGTCACTGTGAGCACATTATCATGCCAATATCAGCCTTCCCCCTGAAGCACTGCTGTGCCTAACTACAGGTGAATTCACACATACTGTATCTGACCTTCAGTGAGTCTTAGGTCTGATGGACTCAAATTTGATATGGCATTTTTGCAGTATAACCCACATAAGCTGGTAAATGTTGTGCACAGTTCACTTACATCTACTCTAATTATTTAGTGAGTTATTTAGTTTCAGCACAAATGCCGGCAGTATGTGGGAAGCGAAGAGTGAAGTTACCTGGGAAGAGCTGTTTGGTTGGAGCACTGATCTGGGCTTTTTTCCCTACTCGGTAAGCAATGTCAGGTCTTGACCCTCTCCGAACTGTGCAGAAGCCCGTTGTTTTCTTTACTCCTTCAGGGTAGCTCTGGAAGCCTAGCACCTTCAGTACGTCCACTGGTTCAGCTGTGGAAGAAGAATTCATTAATTTACACAGAGCTATACTTGGAGAGCAAAACTATATTACATTTGGGTGAATATGCAGTTTTTGTCTAAAGCTCATAAGGGATGACTTAAGTTTCTTCTATATACAGAATGCATTTGGATGGTGCCGTAAAAAAGTGTTTCCAGTTAAAAAGATGATTTTTAGGAGGTGAGGAGAATGGATTGTCATCTGGGATTGGCTCCAGTCCCCAGCAACCCTGTTCAGGAATAAGCGGTATAAATAATGGGTGGATGGATGGATATCTTCTCCACTGAGAAGGCTGGTTGCAAATAAGTTGCAGTTACAGACATGTCTAAAGTCTGTTAGAGACACAGTGAGAGGGGACCATGCATGCATAAAATTAACAGCTGCCTGTTAACGTCTACTGAATAAATTGAACTAATGTTAGGAGACTAAATAAAAATGCAAACAACATTCAAAGATAATGATATGATAATGTACTATGAGTGTACATGGAAACGTTCTCCGTCATTTTACACTACACTGTAAGCATATTTCAACAGTTAACAGGACATTTTGATGATAAATCAACATGTGCACCCTTTACAACCCTTTTCTGTTCAGGGACTGTTGGCCAAATCCGTTAGTTCAACCATTTGTTCAGTTGTGAGCTACCATAGCAAAGGAGCAATAAAAATGTTCAGCACCATTCAGCAGACATAACTGGGCCCCCCCCTTGCCTCCACAGCCAAATACCACAGCATCTAAGGGATGATAAAAGTCACTGCAGCCAATCACAAGGTCATTGGAATAAAGTGAACACAGGTGGGGGGGGGGCAGCTTTACAGGCTCCTTAATGCTACTAGACTTTTCTATCAAGACACCTGGAACTTAGGGGGTGAAACGACTACACAGTGCACTCAGACCGTTCTTCTTTCTCTCGCTCTCTCTCCTGTAATTGTCTAAATCTGCCATTAGAACAAAAATTGTACATATCCTTTTCAACTTCAGTCACAAATTGACTTTAAGTTTCACATTCATGGCCTTACCATATTTAGAGTATGGCGTTGAAAACTGGGGAAATACATACAAAAGCTCGCTTTAACCATTGTATATATTACAAAAAAGAGTGATAAGAATTGTGCATAAGATGGGGTATAGGGATCACACCAATGTAGCTTTCATACAGTCTAAATTGTTAAAATTTTTTGATTTAGTGGGATATAAAACTGCTGTGTTTATGTATAAAGCCAGGAACCATTTATTACCTGGTGGAATTCAAAAACTATTTAATGAAAGGGAAGGGGGATACAATTTAAGGGGTCAGTTAAATTTAAAAATTCATGCTATACGTACAACCAAAAAAAGATTCTGTATTTCCATAAGTGGTGTAAAACTATGGAATAATTTAAATGTGGACATAAAAAATAGTAATAGAATTGATGAGTTTAAACATAAGTATAAAGGTATGTGTCAATCAAGATATGGGCAAGAACAGGCTCAATGATTAACCAGATGGAACATTGTGGGTGTGGTGTATGAATGTTAACACTCTGTAATAATTCTTTAGTATATTACTTGCGTGGCGTAGAAGATAATTATCTATGAATGTAATTATGTAGAATGTTAACACTCTGTAATAATTCTGTAGTATATTACTTGTGTGGTGTAGAGGATAATTATTTATGTAGAGATATTGCTTAGGACTTAAAAGTTGTAAGATGATGTCATGGGGTAGGACTAGATAAGTCTAACTTCTTCCTACTCCGTTCAAGCATGTACTAGGTATAAGTAAATTGATATTGGATTATTATTGTTGGATATGTGTGAAATTACATGTGTTGACATAACTGTTTTACATGCTTGAATGAATATATCAAATCAAATCAAATCAAAGTGGATCACACAATTTCCATTTGTGCTGCCAACAATGCCTGTATCATGACTGATCGGGACATCTGCAGGGTACTTTTTTTTATTTATCGTGGCTCAAGAGGTGCCTTCAAGTGTTATTTTGTGTGCCTATGTGCAATTATTATGCATATATTTAGTGGCTGATCAGCAATTCTCAGCGAGCGGCTGGAGTACAACATCTCAGCTCATCAGCCTTTCTCATCCCTCCCATTATTACATTTCACACAATGACAAAATAATAATAAAACAAAACAGGCCTAAATTCCTTTATAAGTTGTGACCTGTAGTTCAGACAGGCAGTTATAGATTATAGATTTATAGACTGTAAATATGTAAATTTACTTCAGAATCTTGGATCTCAAACTCTTCTAAGTTTTAATTGGCTTAGGGGTTTATTTTCTTGAAACTGTTTAGATTTTTACATTCACTAGTCAGGACCATGCCTGAGAGGAAAAGGGGATGCATTTATGTGGAAACTGTTAGAGCGTTTTTGGGGGAAGGCTTCCAATAAATTGGGGGAAAGCAGAAACAGAAGAAGGACCAGCCGGGGCAGCTTGCCATGCCAGACGGAGGCCCGTGGTGTGGACAGTGTCCCAGAGACTGGTGGTAGGGACGCTGGTGGAGGAAGGCGAAGACCATGCAGAAGGGACAGAAACTCATCTGCTGAAGTATATAGCAGTGGAAGGTGAACATGTTAGAGTGAGCCAGACTGCAACCACCATATATGAGAAACAAAAGCACTCTGCAGGTAGAGAGCGGAAGTATTTATAGGCAGGTGCCAAGGGGAGGGCGTGGGTGATTTTTTTTTTTTTTTATTAAAGTGGTATACTTATTGATGAAGCCCTGCATGTCCTACTGTACATACTGTATGTCTTACTGCAACAGTATGACATAAGTTAATATGCCCTGCCCCTTACGGTGTAATTCAAATCCTGATTATAGTCACACACGCCACCCAAACAGTCCCTGTGTCCACACACAATAATAAAAGAAAAACATTATTTTATATGTAGCAACCTTTCAACTGCATATAATTATAATACACTCGCCCAGTTTCAAGTAATTAACTTTACTTTTATACACATAATATACACAGAATCTGATATAGCTGCAAGAAGCTAATGCCAGCCAATATATATCAGCCTGTCTGACATATTGATCTAGCTGTAGTGTTGTCAGGTAGTGTTGATGGATTTCAAATCAATAATTGTAAAGCAAGTATGTAAGTAGCCCAAAGACAAATGGTAAAGGCAAAAATGTAGTAATGTTAGCCTCCCTATTTCAGATCAGATGAGCCTGTAATAACAAAACCCCTGAGGGTATTGAAATTCATCAAGAGTATAGTACCGGGGGGCGGCTGTGGCTCAGGAGGTAGAGCAGGTCGTTTCCTAACCGGAGGATTAGCGGTTCGATTCCCGGCTTGTCCAGTCAACATGTCGAGGTGTCCTTGAGCAAGACACTAAACCCCCAGTGATGTCACCGGTGTGTGAATGCGTGAGTGCGAATGGGTGAATGGCCAAATAATGTGTCAAAGCGCTTTGAGTGTGCTGTAAAAGCATAGAAAGGCGCTATACAAGTATAAGACCATTTACTGCCTATGAATTCAACCTTTCATTTGTGAGAAGAAGAACGTATTATGTCCGCTTTCAAAAGATACATTGTAAGGCTTTAACAGTCATGAATACGACCATGACTTACTATGTGTGGTGGCGAGGACTCTCCAAATTAACATTGGTTGCTAATAATTTATTTGCATTTACTGAAAAAAAATACATGTCATGCACCTTCTGACTATAACTGCTAATGGCATTCACCAAATGTAATGACATCTCTGCACTGTTCTAGTGTTATACATGAAAACTTTAAGACTGCACATCAATACAGTGGAATGCAGTGGCTGGATGAAAAATGCGATCTATAAACTGGCCAAAAATGATTCTACCCAAATTTAAAGTTTAAAGCGTAGAACTGAATTGACTATCCACTCCAAACCAAGCTCAGAGCAACTAGTAAAAGCTACTTGTTATAGAAACCACAGTGACAAAAACACAGCACAGTTGTGCCCAGACATCACACAGCTCATTTGTCTTTTCAGTGAGTCAGGATGTGTTTAAAGGCCCAACAGGGATAAACAGCATCTGAAAGGTCAACTGAAAATCCCACTGAGACTATAAGGCCTTTAAGGAAGGGTAGATAACAGGCTTAATGTGAAAGCCCTGGAAAAAAAAATCTAGATTCATGTGTTTGATACAGACAAAAAAACACTGTGGGAAAATTATGGCAAACTCTCCTCATCAGCCTTATAATCCTGCATTAAGCTGCATGAACCAGGAAAATGGTTTGGTCAAGACACATAGAATAACCAAAATAGCATATGCTGCTGGCAAAAACATTATGTAATGGAATATAAAGTAAAATAAGTGTTATAACCTTTTCCCCACAAATGGAAGAACCATAGGTTACAGTTACATGTAAAATATAGGCCCGAACTGTGCTTCTGTACCGTATCTTCTCTAAACATTTCAACACCAATCTGTAGTGACAGGTAAAGGAATATTATTATGAAAATACACACCTATTTACATTTTCCCTTTCTGTGTGGAAGTGCTGATTATGCAGTTCCTGTTAGCATTTAGCGACCACGAGGGGGGTCTAATGGGTGGAGCTAGAAGCCCACATGCTGAACCCATTGCCACCAATCCCTATACCTCCCCCTAACTAAAATACACATGAGGCTAAACTGAGAAGGCTCCATCCTTGTAGCTACTTCCTCTCTGGCCAGAAAAATAACAGCCCGAGTGATAAACTACCTTGATTTAACCACATGTGCAGGAACCGTATCTAAAGTTTTAGCTTTGGAGTTGTTTATGATGATATGGGGTTATGCCATAGTTCATGACTTGTGCAAAGTAGAATGTCTTTGCTTTAATTTCTATTAAATTCAGTCCCATAGAAATGTTCATCCACAGAGAAAGATGGGAGTAAAAAAATGCTTTGTGACTGACACTGCACAAAGAGCAAATTAAGAGAGTTCATTTGGTCCTGAAGGCTACCAGATTGACTACTGACTCAAACATAGAGTACAACACAAATATGAGGTACCAAACACCAAGTTTTAAACCTCACACCAAATGCCTTATAAAGAAGAAAGTATAATATGTGGCTTTTGTGAATATCGTCCCAAGTATGGAGCTACTGGTTCATGAAAAAAAGCTTGGACTAAAGGTCTCTTTGTGAGTTTCAGAATGCCTTTCTGCATTACTGCATACCTCAAGGC